TGAGTAATGCGGTGGCCTCAGACCCGGCCCCCCCCCGCCCCTTGCAGGATGAGACACACTCGCAGTCACCAGCATCGGAAAGAGAGGAGTGGCCCCCGTCCCACCCGGCCTCTTAAGCGACAAGGGCCAGAGGCTAAGCACCTGTATTGAAATGAGCTGGCGCTCGGTTCCCAGTCCGCTGAATCCTGGGATCCTGCTCCTCACCCCTCCCCCAACCCTGCGCGGATCCTGGTTTGCAGAAAGTAACCCCCTCCCACGGGGGGCATCTGCTCCTTCTCCAGAGCAGAGGGGCATTTTCAAGAGGCAGGTCACCTGAGGCAGCCCAGCCTGAGCCGAGGCTGAAGCACCCACCGGCTAGAGAACCAGCCCACCGGGTTGGAACACGGCTCTGCAGAGAGCTGTCTGGCTTTTAAAAGGCAAGTTAGCCTTTCCGTGACTCAGTTTTCTTCTTCTATAAAATGGGGGTGATGACAACTGCCTCAGTGTTGTTTTAAGGACTAAATAAACACATGAACACGCAGACCTGGGCTAGCGTGTGACATGGGCATCCCGCAAATGCTTATGATGGGATTCTGAGGCTCATAAGAACACCATGGGCAGCCCGCGTGGATACTGCTCGCACTCCCTTTCACAGAGAAGCAGGAGAGGGAGACTTACTCAAGGTAAAAATGCAGCTAAATGGCAGAGCCAGGGCTCCAGGCCGGACCATCTCCAACCCCAGGTGCAGTCTGCCTCCCTTCCCTCTGAAAGCCTGGAGGGTAGCAGTGTGGGCACTCAGTGGATCAGCTCCAGGTGGCCCTCTAGTCACCCCGTAAGGCCAAAGTGCCAGACTAGACTTCAGCTCACCTGCCTGAGCTGGCATTGGGCATTAAGCTGAACCAGACACGGGGGTTCAGGTGAGCAGGGGCAGGACTGGGTGGTGGCCCCTTCAGGCTACAGTAGACAACAGTAGCTCCAGTCACTGCAGGGACTTTGGCCGTTCGGAGTGCGCTGCTCTTTACAGTAACTGTGCGGGGCAGTCACTCTTGTACCTGCCATTTCCAGGTGAAGAATTTCGGCAGAGGTTAACCGCATCGTCTAAGATGCACTCCAGGCACAAGGCGTGTGTCAGTCACCGTTTTGGTGTCCTGATCCCCACTGCAGAATATATGAGTATTTATTGAATGTTACTCTTATCCAGAGTGCAACAGCAGTCTGTTTTGTGGATGGGGTTGCCAGGTGGCATGGTGGTTAAAGTGCTGGACTCCCACATGGTCGACTGTGGTTTGAATCCCAAACCTGGCAGCTGTCTTTCTCACTGGTCAAATTTTTAAAAAAGAAAAATAAAATACAATAAATAATTTGTTAAAAAAAATAGTGTGTGGGAGCTGGCTGGTGGTGTGGTTGTTAAGGCACTGGATTCCCACATGACCAACTGATGTTCAAGTCCCAGACTTGGCAGTTTGCTTTCTCACTTTCTGTGTCTCTCTCTGGTGAGTGTGTGTGCAAATAATAATAATAATAATAAATAATTCCTTAAAAAATAATAAAATTATTCTTTTAAAAGAAAGTATGTGTGTGACCGTGAGTTGGGGGGTGCAGTCACCCGCCCTTCCCGTCTGGCCTTTGTGTTCAGCTGACTCTCAGGGGTGGCTTCTCAGCTCAGCTGAACTCACTCTCCTCTCTCACCTTCACCTAGCCCTCAGATCTTCCTGCCACACCTGGCTTCTTGTTTGTACAGGTTCTCTGGGCTTTTAGTGATGAATTCTCTCCCTTTCCCTCCCTCCTCCCCCCACACAGATACACAGGGTAGAGACCCAGCTTCAGGAGACAGTGAGGTAGGGGTTGAACACGGAACAGAGCCCTGGGAGGCCCTGTTCCCCTCACTGCAATCTCTTCTCCCCTCCCCCCAGCCCTTGACTCACTAGGGCCATGGTGGGGGGCCATGGGAAGGGGGAGCCCTGTTGAGAGAGGCTCAACGCCTTTGTCAACAAGAAGAAACTCAGGAGGCTGCATTTTGGAGCTGCTGTGGGAGGCCTGTGGGAGTATTATCTACAGAAAGGAACAAGGAGAGAGAGCAGAGAAGAGCGAAGCCAGGAAAAAGCCGCTCAAGACACAAAAGATGGAAAAAGCCTCCCTCCCTACAAAGCGCAGGCGGAGTCAGACGCTGTGTGCAGGGGGTGGAACAGGTGGCTGTCGAGGAACAGAGCCTGGCCCCTCCTCTCTCCTCCCCTCTTCCCACTCTCTCCACCCTTTCTGGAGGTCCCTGGGCTCATCCAGCCTGGCTCTGCCAGTGTGGCCAGGCTCTGTGCTAGAAATACCTTAAGCTTTCAAGGCAGCTGGTCTGTGTTCAAAATCTAGCTCCACCACGGTGCAGCTGGGTGACCCCGCGTGGGAAGGAGTGCCCCTCTCAGAGTTCCTGCATCTGTGAAATGAACCTTAGTGACTGTTAAGAAATGTCCCCCTGGCCCTGGGTGAGGACACTAGGGAAATAAGCTCAGGAAGCCCCACTGAAGGCTCCCCACCGACACCAAAACCACAAAACTTGGATTCGTCAAGGCCTCCAGCAGCTGGCCACCCCTTAGCTGTCTCATTCTGGGCTATTTATCTCTTAGTGATCCCGCTAGGGGTTCAGCGGACCATAATGCACATTCAAACGGGATCCTGAGGAGTACGTGGTTTTGTTTATAAAGGCACTGTCATATCCTGCATAGCTAGTAAGAGTAACCAGGTCTGAACCTAGACCAGACCAGACCAGACCAGACCGACAGCAATTCACTACTGCGCCATGCCGTGGGCGCTGTCCTGTCCTGGTGGTGACTAGCCTATTAAAAGGGAACAGCATGGCCATTTGGGTCAGGCACTGTGACGACATGGACCTTCCACCACAGGAGCTCCCTGCACCGGCAGGGGAAGGAGGGCCGTCAACACACTCCTGCGGCCAGCGAGGAGGTGCCGTCTGCCTCCCACGAAATTTCATTCTCACAACCTGTGTGAGAATGTGTTCTAGCAGCATCTGAAAACAGGTTTGTCTGAAATCAAGTTACAGAGGAAGACTAACTGGGTTAAGTTGAAGCGACATACAGAGGAGACCTGACTTTTCCCTGAGGAATCAGAGTGGGTGGTATTTGTTCCTGCTGTTTTGACGGCAGTGAAGGGGCGGGCAGGAGAACAGTTGTGCTAGTGGTGTGGATGGTGGGTGTTTCCTCACCTAGAAACATCTTCCGTAGAGCTTCCTTCTCGGAGCACAGTGCACAGTGCACAGTGCGAGGCAGGTAACAGAACTCCCTCATCACCTGTATGGAAATAATGTTCCCTGGCTCTCCGCTGGGAAAGCCTGGCCTCGGCCTCACTCCTGCGCGCTGCTGTGGTGGTGGGGACTGTGCTTACTGAGGTCACATCTCCCCGACCTCCACGGCTCTGAAATGAGTGGGGCTGTGCCTTTCCAACAGGTATGTCAGACAGGCGACAGGACATGAGGCTCACCATGCTAGGAGCTTATACCCAGGGAGAAAACCTATAGAGCAAATAGGATAAATGGATTTTTTTTAAAGAGATTTTTGCTATAGGGCTTGTGTGTTTGCCAGAGAGACAATGAAACAGAAAGCCACCAATCATCCCCAGGGGGATGGCCATGCTGCAATCCTCCTCCACGGATCTCGGGCACACACGCACATACACCTGGTGTGA